GGTCTCCTTGTAGCCCCAGCTGTCCTGGAACTCACTATGTAGACCAGACTGGCCTCAAGCTCACAAAGATCCGCCTGCCTCTGCCTCCCAAGTGCTGGGATTAAAGGTGTGTGCTACCACGCCCGGCATCAGTCTGGTACTTTTAATTACCATGTGCTATGTAGACCAAGCTTGGGTAAAAAATCAAATGTTCTCAGATAAACCTTGACTAGATACATATTTTGTTCCTTAAACTAGTGGACTAAACTATGACCTTAGAAAATTTAAGATTATGTTTATATTATTTTTGTCTCATCCTTTATATATTGTAACAAACCTACACAGACCTTCATCACTTGCTTAGGCTTTCATTTTTTCTATTATGGAAAATATCCATTCACATATCTTTTTAACATCTTTTACATTCCATTTTCTTCTTTTAATAATTATGAGACATAATAACATTAACAAATAAATTTTCCATCTGTTGTAAGAATTCTTTTCCTGGGATATTAAGCAATGCCTATTATAACCCTTTAAAGGTTCTAGTGTCAAACCAGTGTTTGATTAAAGTTTTCCTGGGGAACCAATGAATTTACTGAGCTTAACTTACCCCAGATAACTGAGGGGTTGCTGAGGTATGTGAATGTCCTAAGGGTATGCACACTGGAAAGCCTTTACCCAACATGGATCAAGCCTTCTCTTTATAGCCTTCCCCAGATTATATACTTTAGCCCTCCCCAAATCCAGCAGACCATGTGTAATTAGGGCCAAATTACATATAGTTGTCTGGGGAGAGTGGCTGGATACTCCGGTGAGGGTCCAGTGACCGTACTTGCCCCTTCTTCAATGAAGGAGCACAACCATCAACAAGCCCAATTGTGGCGGTGTTTTAGCAATCAGGCACAGCTGAAGTCGTGATGATGGTAGTTAGTTCATGCAGAAGAGACTGCTGTACAGCATCATCACCACATGGAGGCAGGATCCAGGTGCTTTCGAGACAGTCCCCTGAGTTCTCAGCCCCTATGCCAGAGATAGGCCAGAACAGGCATTCTCTGGTGGTCTGCTAAGATCTCAGCCTTGTCCTCCCTTTTAGTTTCTTAAGGTAAGTAGTATGATTGTACAGCTTTTGTTGATTCTCTCACAGTGACAAGAACAACTATATCAAGTCATGTCTTTAGAACACTGAATACACAGGAGAGTCTAGAGCTCCTCAGGTTGAGCTGAAACTTAGGTAGCATACTGAGACTGCCTTTTTAAAAATATTTTTTTATATGTATGAGTGTATTGCTTACACGTATGTGAGTGTACACGTGCAATGCCGCAGAGGTCAGAAGAGGGCTTCGGATTCCCCTGGAACTGGAGTTAAGGATGGTTCATAGCCACCATATAGGTGCTGGGAATTGAACCCGGGTCCTCTGCAAGAGCAGTGCTCATAACTGCTGAGCCATCTCTCCAGCCCCGAGACTGCCTTCTTAACTGTACCCTTCCTGCTCAGTGAACTTGAATGTTGTACATAAACTGTTTCTTGCTCCTAGAGTATAGTGTAGCAGAAAATAAAATTTAACTGAAGCCACGCGTGGTTGTGCACACCTTTAATCCCAGCACTTGGGAAGCAGAGGCAGGCAGGCGAATCTCTGTGTGTTCAAGGCCAGCCTGGTGAGTTCTTTAACTTTGCATTTCACCTTGGTGTCATCAGTGGGTAAACCATGATTATTGGACATATTTTGGAGAATGAATCTGAAGCTTCACTTACCAGTATTATTAGAAAATGTAGAGAAAAGCCATACAGATTGTATTTTTCGCATTTGAATCAAACCATGTAGTGTTACCTTTAGTAGGCAGTACATATTTGTTGATTAAATAAAGAGATTTGGATTCTGTTTCCAGCTGTGCTACTACATGGATGGTTTTCCCATTCTGCTCTACCCATCCTTTTAGAGTTTGCCTGCTTTACATTTCACTAAGACAAATTAGAGGACCAAAAGGTATTGTCAGTGCTGAAGGTTTATGTGAGAGGAGACAAAAGGGACCTGATACCTCAGCTTTGAGATCGGGTAATCAGACCAAACACACTTTACCATTATTAGTTAGCCCTGTCATCTAGGAATATAGCCTGGGTAGGGAAGAGATTGCCCAGGAGCTGGAATCTTATTTTCTATTATGCATAGCTCAGCATGACCTGGACTTTTGTGGGGGTGATTAACTTCATGGGTGCTTTAGAACTATCTTGAGAGTCAGTTCTTTTAAATTAATATTCTTCCTACAGTTAAATACAGAACATTGAATTTTGATGCATACCCTTTCTCCTTCCCACCAGCTCTGTCATTTACTTCCCACCTACTCTTTCCCAACACTCTTTATTTTTTCATCAAGCTTCAGTTTTTTTTTACTTTTCCTATTTATTAAACTTTTTTAATGTATGGTCCTGTATAACCTAGGACCCATAGATAAGAATGGCTATGCGGTCAGTGGGGCTCATCGAAAATCAGTCAGTGATCATATAGGCTACATAAGTGTCCCCAGGTGAAGAGGCTACATGGGACTCTCCAGCTGCAGCAGTGTGGCATCCTTAAGGAGAGATGCTGTCAGAAGGACTGGCCTCTTGCCCTTGTTTTCTTCGATTGACACTAGAATAGAGTGTTGCTGTTGTTCCTGTTCCTTGTGGTTGAGAGCTTATCCATTGACTCAGTATAATCTGTTCCTTTCCTAGTTCCTCCAGTAAAGAGTGATTTCTATCTCTCTACACTACCTCTTTCTGTGTTAGCTCTTGTTTGAGTTTCAGAGAAGGGTATGCACAGTTCTTTGAGAGGGGAAGCTGGAGGAAGCCAGCTTTTTCCTGAATCTGGTGGTCTGGCTCTTCTGTAGGACACTGAAAAGTAGCCTTTTGCTTCTTGGTTTTCTGCATTTCTGTTTCTTGACTTGGTACATCCAGAGATCCTAAGATTCAGGCTACTACTACCATTTACTTTCTTTATGTATCTGGTATCTCTCTTAAGGCATTTCACTTGTGTTCTGCCCTTGTTATTCTGATGGAACTCACTTCTCTTCTAGGCTGCTGGGTTTTTGTAGGTTTGCTTTTGTTTTAATAAATAGTAGAACCTTTATTTTTCAAAGATTTTAATTTTTAGGCAGGTTTAGCTTCACTGCAGAAATAATAAGGTACAGGAATTTCCTATGTTTCTTTATTTGGGATTGTGCATAATTATTCCCTAATCAACATCTCTTACCATAGTGGTACATTTGTTTCAGTTACAATTCTTGGTGTGTGTGTGTGTGTGTGTGTGTGTGTGTGTGTGTGTGTGTGTATGCTTGTGTGCGTGCTTGTGTACATGTGTATATGTTTATGTATGGAGGGGGTGTGTGTGTGTCTGTGTGTGTGTGTGTCTGTGTGTGTGTGTATGCTTGTGTGCGTGCTTGTGTACATGTGTATATGTTTATGTATGTAGGGGTCCATGTGTGTGCATATGGAGACCAGAGGTTAATTTCAGAAGCCATCCACTTTGTTTTTGGAGACCAGGCTCTTCATTGGCTTGAAACTCACCAAGTAGGCTAGGCTAGCTGGCCATTGAGCCCTAGACCAGAGATCTGCTTGTTTCCACCTCTCCAATGCTGAGATTTTAAACATGTGCCACCCTCACCCAGCTTTTTGTTTCATGTGGGTTGTGGGGATTGAACTTGGGTCTTAGTGCTTGTACAGCAAGCACTTCACTGACTGAACTATGGTTCCTAGCCCACAGTTGTAATTCTTTGTGTCTGTCTGTGTGTATATGTGTTCATGTGTGTGCACATGTACTGTACATGTGGAGGTCATAGATTAATGTTGGTCTCTTAGTTACTCTTCACCTGATTTTTTGATATGGGGTCTCATTGAACATGGAGCCCTCTGACCCAGCTCAGCTGGCTGGCCAGTGAGCTCCAGGGATCCTCCTGACTTTGTTCCCCAGTTCTGGTGTTACAGATACACATCATTACTCAGCTTTTATGTGGGTGCTGGGGGTCTGTCCTGGTTTGTCTCTCCATTGCTGTGACAGAACACTCTGACCAATACCAACTTGGGGAGGAAAGGGTTTATTTAGCTTACATATCCCGGGTCACAGTTCATCCCGGAGCCCAAGGTAGGAACCTGGAGGCAGGAGCTGGAGCACAGGCCATGGAGGAACTCTGCTTACTGGCTTGCTCCCCTGGCCCCTGCTCAGCCTTCTTTCTTATGCAACACAGGCCCACCTGCCCACAGTGGGCCAGGCCCTCCCACATCACTCATCAAGAACATGCCCCTCAGACATGGCCACAGGCCAGTCCAATAGAGGCAATTCCCCAACTGAGGCTCCCTCAACCCAGGTGTATCAAGTTGACACTAAAGCTATCCAGCACAGGGTCTGAACTCAGGGCCTGCTTGCATGGCGAACACTTTACCAACTGAACCATCTCCCTGGGCCCCTGTATGTAGTTCTTCTTAATCATCCTTGGGAGAAGGCATACTGAATGGAAAGAGCTACTAACTTGCTGAAAGTTATGCTGCCTGGTATGGTGGTTTCTGCCTAAAATGCTAGCACATGGGAGACTGAAGCAGGAGGATTGCTAATGAGTTCCAGGCCTGCCTGGTGTACAGTGTGAGACCCTCAAGAAAGGAAAAAAACAAAGAAAAATTTGCATGTAATTGTCTAATGTCTCCATTTGTTTTTCACATTATAAAATTGGTTAATAGGACTTCAACCAGAAATTAGCAAGTATGCAAATATCTAGCTGTAATTTTAAGAGAACCCAAAACAGGAATATATCCATGTAATTTTTCTTAAAAAGAATGGTGATTAAAAAATTTTTTTTTCTTTCTTTTTGAGACAGGGTCTCCCTGTAGCCCCAGCTGGCCTGGAACTCACTATGTAGACCAGGCTGGCCTTGAACTTACAAAGATCCGCCTGCCTCCTTTGCTTCCCAAACACAGATTAAAGGCCACCAAACCCAGCTAAAAAAATGTTTTGTTTTGTTTTTTTTTTGATGTCAGTTTTCTCTCTTTTCAGTTGCTCTAGGTCGTAACCAACCTTTGAAAAAGGAAAAACCAAAATGGAAAAGCGATTATCCCATGACAGATGGACAACTGCGCAGCAAGAGGGATGAATTTTGGGACACTGCACCAGCTTTTGAAGGCCGTAAAGAGATCTGGGATGCCTTAAAGGCTGCTGCACATGCTTTTGAAAGCAATGATCATGAACTGGCACAGGCAATCATTGACGGCGCAAACATAACACTACCACATGGTAGGTCTGGTGTCCTGAGGGCAAGGGGCATAATCACCTTGTTCTAACAGCAGGGGCCACCTGGAAGGAGCTTTAATGTAGCAAAGAATAACTTTCCTCTTTTGTTTCTTTGTATATCTTTCAGCTGGAGATAATTTGTTTGCTTTATGCTGGTTTTATATTTCTTTTTTAATATATTTACTTATTATTTTATGTGTATGAGTATATTTTCTGCATGTGTGTAAGTGCACCAGTGTCATGTAATGCCTGTGGAGGTCAAAAGAGGGTGTCAGATCCCCTGGAATTTGAGTAACAGGTGGTTGTTAGCCGCCATATGGGTTCTGGGATCCAAACCTGGGTCCTCTACAAGAGCAGCCAGTGCTCTTAACCACTGAGCCATCCCTCTAGCCCCCATTTTTATATGTCTTAATCTCAGAAAAGGACACATTAGGTAAACCTGTTTTCTGGTTTGTTTCTATGCAACCTGGCTCTGTCTTCTGCTTCCCTGTCTCTGCAGTCTCCATCCCTCAGCCCATATGTAGGCACTGCTTCTTTACTGCTCACCTACCAGAGCCAGAGAGAATCTCAGTTCAGGTTTTATAAAATGTAGAGGCTTGGTGAATGCACCTTTAGTCACCATGCTTTCCCATTTAACATGAGCCACCTAAACTTCAAAGTGAGTCCCACAAGTTTGTAGGGGTAGTTTTTTAGGACTAGTCCTGAGCCTTATTAGAAACCTTTGTTACTTAAAAATGTGATTTTTTTTTTTTTTTTTTTGGTGTTTTTGAGACAGGGTTTCCTTGAACTCACAGATATCCACCTGCCCCTGCCTCCCAAGTGCCAAGAGTAAAGGCATGTACCACCATGCCTGGCAAGAATGTGACTCTTAAGGACAGCTGTGATATGTGTGTATCCAGAGACACATATATGCTAGACCCATACACATGTTCTTGAATGGTCTCCTTGATAGCAAACTTAAACATTGTCATGCTGTACTGATATTTAGGTGTTTTATATTTGTCTTCTTTTGATTTACATATAAATATATTTTTCTCCTTAGTTTTTTCAGTTAATGGTCTTCAGACCTATGTAAGAGATACCCACCTTAAATTCACTTGTGGTGTTCTCTATTAACTGTCATGGTTCTCCCCAGTCTCTTTTTATTTGTATAAATTTTTAGAGGAACAGTCCTCTTATAATCTGATCATCTGCCTTATGTCCTTTGACTCTATGCCAAATACAGGATGTTTTACTTCCTAGCCTTGCCAGCTTTCCAAAATCTCCATTAGTAATTCTACTTAGTTGTACTTCTCAGAAGCATTCTGTATTTGTGGCTGTCTGTTCTTTATTATGAAAGTATATTAGCATGGGCTTTAGTAACACAGTGAGCATTCATTCTCTACACATGGAAAAATGATCTGATCCCTCCTATATTTGAACTATTTTAATAAGAGTGCTAATTCAACATGCTTCCATAGTCTAGTTTTTTTTTTTTTTTAATTTTCACATTAATTTATTTTGTGTGTGTAGAGGTCAGAGGATTTGTAGGAATTGTTTTTCTCTTCCACCACAGGGGACACAGGATCAAACTCAGGTTGTCAGTCTTGGTGGCAAATGCCCTTTGTGCACTGACCATCTTACCAGCCTCCTTTAGTCCTATTTTTCGTATAGTGTTTAAATTCTTTACCTTAGGGGCTAGAGAGATGGCTCCAAGGTTAAGAACACTTGCTGCTCTTGCAAAAGAACTGGATTCAGCTCCCAGCACCCACATGGTAGCCCACTACTCCAATTCCAGGGGATCTGATGCCCACTTGTGGCCTCTGGCAATGCTTCATGCACATGGTGCACATACATATATACATACATACATACATACATACATACATACATACATACATGAAAATCATATATAAAATGAATTCTTAGCCGCACACCATTAGCTCTAGCACTTGGGAGGGAGAGGCAGGTAGATCTCTGTGAGTTCCAAGCCAGCTGGGGCTACACAGAGCCTGTCTCAAAAACACAAATAAAATAAAATAAAATAAAATAAAATAAAATAAAATAAAATGAATTCTTTGCCTCTTGTAAATTGGGAGGCACTGGCCATGGTCTTACTCTGCCTCTACAGCTCCTCTGTTTACATAATGAAGAATGAGCCAGTCTGTTTTCACAAAAGTGTGTCATTTGTTTCTTTCTGATGCTTACAACCCTTATTTTCCAAGCAGAATCTGTTTCCTGTGAGTGGGTGAAAGAAGAGTCACATTTATGTGGTTTTCTTATGCACATTGTGGCCTCATTTAAAAGTTCATGGAGGAGGGGCCAGCAAGATGGCCCAGCAGGTAAAGGTGCTTGCCCTTAAGCTTGATGACCTGAGCTCAATCCTCAGGACACACAGTGGAAGGAGAAAAACTGTCTTGCTCAGGTTGTCCTCTGACCTACACATGTACACTGTGGCACATATACAGATACAAAACTAAATGAATGTATTTTTAAAAACTTTTCAAGTTCATGGATTTGAGAAGGGAGGGTGGGAGGAGTTGGAAGGGAGAGGAGGGATGGGAATTATGTAAATACAGTACTCATGTATGAAATTCTCAAAAAATTAAAAATTTTAAATACGTTTTTTAAAAGTTTATGGAGACAAAGTAGCTCTGTTTCATGTAAAGGCAAGGCCCAAACATATCCTGTTAGATGTGGCCTCAGATCTCAAAGGACTTAAGTCTTACTTGTCTATGTCTACATGAATTGTTAAGAAGAATAATGTTACTGGAGTCCCCACCACCCAACAGATCAGGAAAATTATTCTTGGAAATTTGAGAGTATTAAAGGAGTTTCAGCTCCCCTTCTCTGCTTAAGGAATATGGTCTTCATTATCATGAAGTAATTGTATCAATGCCCAAACATTCCTCTCTCAAATAATGGCATTAAAATTGTAGATATCAATGTTTTGTCGTTGGCACCCTTAGCGTTTCCCTGTTTGTAGCTGAAGCTTGTCAGTAATAATTCTTGGGTAGGCCTATCAGTTACCCTCTGTCAGATTCTAATTCACCATCAGTTTATAAAATGAACTGTTTGTTTGCTGTCACTTAGAAATAGTAGTATTTCTTCATTTCATCTTTTCCATGTAATTACATATTTGAAGTTTTCCTTTAGGCATGTGTTATCTCTTAAACATCTCTAAGTACTTTATATTTTGAATTTAAATTATTGCATAAACATTGGTTGTTTAGCTCCAGTTTTGATACAAGATTTAGTCTCACTTGTGCCTCTATTGTATTAATTAAAGCTATGTGACTTTAAACAATACTTTCGTAACTTTCAATTCTCTTTATCTGTCATAAATGGATATTAATAACCATCTATTCCATGAGGCTGTTGCATTGGTTTAATGGTGTAATGTGCCGAGACCTGTAAATTGTTTACCATATGGTATATGTAGATCAGTGCCTGATCTATAAAAAACACTGAAGAAATAGTGGTGCTGATGGGTTTATATTATACTGAATTCTGCAATTAAACTTATAAATTTCCTGTACCAAAGTCTTCAATTATAGATCTTGGTCTTTTTCTGGATGTATTGTCTACTGGAACATCTTTATTTGGCTTTTAGGGAACTCTGCTCTTGGGCATACCCCTTTTTCTTAACCTCCTTGTCTTATAAGAGCTCCCCCCCCCCATTTATTTTGTGTATGTAGAGTGCATCTCAGAAGAAAACTTGCAGGAATCAGCTCTCTCCATGATGTGGGTCCTAGGGATCAAACTCCGGCTATTATGGTTGGTGGCAAGTGCCTTTATCCTCTGAGACATCTCACCAACTCCCTCAAAGCATTCTTAATACAGTTTTTTACCTGTAAAACACAGTTGTAGCTTGACTAATTTGTCCAAATTAGCATTAACAAGGTAAATATATGCAAGGAGTTACAGTATTTTAGTGTTTGATACATAGTGACTATTCAGTGATTTTTCAATTACAGATTATTCAGAAACATTGTTTTATAAGCACTTAGTGCTTTTGTGATTATTATATGGATTTAAAAGATTTCTTTAGGCCAGGCGTGGTGGCGTACACCTTTAATCCCAGCACTCGGGAGGCAGAGGCAGGTGGATCTCTGTGAGTTCAAGGCCAGCCTGGTCTACATAGTGAGTTCCAGGACAGCTGGGACTACAGGGAGACCCTGTCTCAAAAAGACCAAAAAAAAAAAAAAAAAAAGATTTTTAAAAATTATATATTCCATTTCCTGTCTTAATTTTTAGAAAGCTGGATGCTTCTTTAGCATTTACCTTCAGTTAGCTTATACTTCTTAGAGAGAGGATATTTTACCTAGCATATTTCCCATGTCTGTGCAATTCAAAATCAGACTTCCCCTCTTTACTTTTCTTGAATAGACAGTAGTTTTTTTCCTTGCTAATCAAACAGAATTCTTTGCCTTTTGGAAGTAGAAACCATACTGCTTACTTCAACTATATTCTTAATTTTTGTAGTAAATGTTGCCAGCTCTTCAGTTTGGCTTCTGGAGGCCTGTTTTTTATGCTTGGGAGTTGAAAAAGGTTTGAGGGGGGGGTTGTTTGTTTTTTTTGGAGACAGGGTCCCCAGCTGACCTGGATCTCGCTATGTAGATAGACCAAGCCAGCCTTGATGTCACAGAGAGCCACCTGCCTCTGCTGGGATTAAAGTTGTGTCCCACAGCACCTAGCTTGGAGGCTTTTTTTTTTTTTAAGTATATTATTTGTGTGTGTGTCTGTGTGTGTGTGTAAGTATGGTATGTATCTATGTGCTCATGCACATTTCACAGCATGTGTGTAGAGGACAACCTGTAGGAGTCAGTTCTCTTCTTTCACCATGTCAGTTCCAGGGATTGAAATCAGGTTGCTAGGCTTGGTGGCAAGCACCTTTACCTGCTGAGCCATCTTGCCATCCTATCTTGAAAACCGTTTATTTCTCTTCACAATTTAGGTAAGAAAGAATTTTTTTTTTCTTTTTTCTTAGTCTTCTTGTTTTAGAATATATTATATGGCCAGGC